TCAGCATTGGATTATTGGCTGGGTACATTCCCAAACGTTTCGCCTGCATCGTAGTCGGGATCTTCAGTGAGAGGCGCCATCGTAAGCACAGAGTTACAATTTATCAAAGTGACAAGTAAAGGCAATCCCCTCGACCAATTTCCTGTTAAACCGTTAGTCAATTTGGCAATGTATAATACATAGTTTATCTTCAATGGTAAATTGTATGCATAGGGTTAGGCTATGTGGTTTTGTTTAGCCCCTATTTTAGCTAACAACTATATGGCTTAATTATAAGTTCGTATGCTTCAAGAGACACTCCTAGTTCCAAAGTTATTAGTTCTCTATATGGACCATTACTTTGCTGTTTAGCAGCAAGGCAAAAATAGTTTAGGGGAACTCCATGAGCTAATATCTAGAATATATGCAAGTACTAAGTTTACCATGGAGTTAGAAAAGGAAAATAAACCGCTTTTTTGACTGTATTAGTGAGCAAAGAAGGTAATATGTTATTTAGACACGTATATAGCAAACCTACTTACGCTGGTTTCAGTATTTATTTTTTCTTGAACCTTACATATAAAGTAAAAATAGGAGTTACGTCTATGATAATGAAGAGTCTGCGTCTAGCAGATACAAACCATGGGGAACAGGAGATTTTGAAATGGAAGGATATACTGTTTCAAAACAACTACCCATTAGGATTAGCAGACAATTACATATCAATTGAGGTTACAAGATTAGTGGAGTTTGCTATCAGACACGGGATAGAAAACTGGACAATTCTACTCGGTTCCTGATTTTGCTTTTCTGTCAGCTTGCAAAAAGTTGGGTGAACTACTGAGGAAATGGAAGATAAAAACAATGTATAAAAATAAATTAACACTTTCTTCAGTAGTTCCTTCGTTTAGACAAAATTCAGACCTTTCTAGATGAGGCTGTTACAAGGCTTTGTGCCCAAGTAGTAAGGTCTGTGTGGAAAAGACCTGCCGACCCATTCATAAGAGACTATGCGAACACAAAACCGCTTACAAAGGTCTGTGGGTCCAAAAGCTAAGCTCGCTGAACACATGGCCGATACAGGACTCTCAAGAGACTGATCCAAAACACAACGTTTTGCGGGTTAATGGGACTTCACGTCAAGGCGCAAGATTAGGGAGCCGATAGAATTTAACAAAACAGCCAACGTCCTAAATAGGAGGAACGAGTGTAAAAAACTAGTTATGAACTTTTTGTGGCTGTTGTATAGACTTAAGGAAATGGAGAGAGAGAGAGAGAGAGTAGGAAGAGCCACTGAACGAGGGAAGGAGGCTGAATTAACCTCGAGTCCAGCTAGGACTATCACACTTCACATGGCATGAACATTACATGCACACAATAGACAATAGCACAAGCCCAAACATGATTTAGCATTAGGCGATCGTACCCTAGTTTTTGTGTAATGAAACAGCTGCCACCGAACTCATTTCCGGCTCGGGATTTTAACTTCACTCATTTTCAAGAATGTAGAGTAAGGTTGAAGTATTCAACCAAATCAGAAGAGGCCTCATTAAGATCACGATGCCAGTCGTATAAAAAAGTGACTGGAGTTGCAGCCGGCCCCCTTTTCTCTTAATTTCGTATATTTTTGCTCTATTCCGTAAAGTATGGAATCTTGCTCTTATGATGTCTGTCACGGTGGTACAGACGAAAGCTTAGCACAGTTTCATCTGGATCGCAGGATGGTGAGCCGACGACTTCTTTGCACAATTCAACAGTTTTCCCTATGCAACAAACCTCCTCCGGTTTCCTGTAAGACCACATCACGAATTCCTTCCAACCAACTTTTCCTTCGAAATGGGGAATCATGCCACAATAGTAAAATTGTATCATCTTCCAATTGACATTTCAAGTTTTTACTTCGACATTCTTCTTCGCTCCTACTTGTAGCACTATCTGTGCACACGTTCATTCTCACAATTACAGCGCTACACATAATTTAAATCAAATTTGGCATCTGTTTTGCCTCAGCTCTCCTCACTACCAGGTGGCACTGGAGCCAAGCACACTTTGCCACCTAATTCACAATTTTTGGGTCTAATATACATCTTGTTAGGCGCAATTTACATGCATTCTTTTCATCGTCTCTGCTTATCCACACAGATAAAGTCAACACTTGTTCTCCTTTATTCAGGAATCTCTATATTAGCTGCTGTTTCGAAACTGCAGCCCATCCTGGATGAGAACACCTTTTGGGAAGCAAGGCTATGTTAGATTCAATGGAAAACATTAGCTCTAATCATATAATTGTGGGAAGAATTAACTACGAGTCCTTCATCACCTTAAACGAAATAGGGTGAATACATTTCATATTACTGATTTACTGGTAGTCTCGATTATAGTCATGATAAAAAGGCCTACAAAGGTTTATGAGTCCCAAAATCAGAACTGGCCGAACACGTTACTCACACATGACACCAGATAGACTAGTATAAAGCCAAAAGCTTAGCAGGATTTAGGGATTATACAAGCAAACCGGAGAGTAGGGAGTTTATAGAAACCATCGAAACGGCCAACACCCTGAATAGAACGACCAAATGTAGGAAATTAATCCGTGAATTTTACAAGAGAAGACAAGGCACAGTCACGTAAGATGGGCTTGATTAACCTCATATCTGGTTAACACTATCACGCCTCACACAACTCACGAACACTGCATGTACACAACTCGTGTAGTGGAATGCACCTGCATGCGTAACCATAACAGAATAGAGAGGAGAAATGATTTAAAGCTGCGTCTACTTAACGCGTCATTCACAGTCGCTTCAATTTTCTGCAGGCATGCAGAGAACAAATGGAGGAGACAACCAAATCATGAAAAGTCTCATAAAATAAACGAAATCAGACTATAAGAGCTAGGTATGATTGCTGCCCGCCATCTTACTTTCTTAATACTTGTTTGTATGGTTAGACTAGCTAAGTATAAGAAAGTTGCATACAAGTTGCAATTAGTCAATGCCATCGTACCAGTAGTAGGAGCTCATCGCTCCGAAACATCCAAAATACGTCAGACGCATAGACGAAACTCAGCAACGCTATCATTGGTTGTCTTTTTCATTTTTGTTAAAATTTATTTCAGCCCCTGTCTCATCTGAACCTCCAGAGCCCGATCATTCCAAGAGGATAAGTGGATCTCTGAGTCCAACTTTTTCAAATACTCATCAACAGATAGACCTCGCTCACAATCTGCCCTTTCCAAGTGATTGTCAAATTAGCGGACACGACGACAATCGTCCTGCTCCACCAGAAACTAGAAGCATGGATGACGGTGACGGATTGCCTCTCTTGTCTTTTGTGTCGGAATCGAGCCAGCTCCATGCGCATGCTCCAGTGTCTCCTGAGATACCCGAAACACCTTTAATGATCCGGTGTTCTTCTTCTGATGAAGACGGAGAATCGGAATTAGAGGACGCTCCCACATATCTTACTTCTGTTAGTGATGCGGACGGACAATCCGAGAAGGCAGATGATTGTAAGGTGGCATATGATATGGAACAAAATGGTCTTGTTTATCTGAATGGAGATGCAAAGGAGATGAAAACTGAAAGTGAAACGATGAAGAATGAACAACCACAAAAATTAGACAGAGATATTAACCCGAAGCTATATCGAAAAGAGGCGACGGATGAGCAATGGTTAATGCAGAAGGAAATCGAGATGGAGAGCCCAAAGAATGACTTGATAAGAGAAGAGCCAGTACTAGTGAATAAAGAAGATGATAATGATGACGACGAGGATTCATACGAAATCTATATTAAACAGAGGCTGGTAGAAGTACGTTGCATATTATCTTGCACATATTTTAAACGTAAATGGGGGCAAAAGGACTTTTTTCCTCTTCATCCTGTAATCATGTTCCATGAGATCCTTTCCTTATATGATCCACCTAACATTTCCCAGTTTAGTTGTGTCAATTGGCGAAAAAGGAGTCTTAGATAAGTTAACTCGGATTATGAAGATATTCGAAAAAGGGATTCATGCTAATGCTAGCCATGCGTTTGCATTCGATGGTTGCTGAGGATGTGGAATTCCTTGTCTATTTTCGCATTCAGAATCCGGTGAGCAGATGAGGGAACTGAAATTTACTCTAATTGCACATGTTACTTCAAGAACATTTATGGTCAAAACGACTATAGGTTTGCTCAAGGAAGATTTTATATTGCTTCCAGGTTAAAATAGCCTAAAAACCTCTTATTTGGCTCTCTTCATGCAAAATTAGTGGGACATTAATAAAAAAATTTTTTTAGTTTTATGAGCTATAGGATTTGATCTACATTCAGTGTTCAGCCATGACACCTAATTTGTCCGGAAACCCCGTGAAATATGGATGTTTTTCCACTAAGTGAATTACTGACATGGCCTTAAACCGATTGAGCTTGTAGCCCCGTGTGTGCATTTTGGAGATGTGCCAATGCGAAGTTTTGTGCGTTCAGATTTTGATCCTTTTGTGCGCATTTGACTGGTGTAATAG